CATATCGATTACATCTTTTATATATTCATACATATATACAGGAACTTTGGTCAAGATATAGAAAGTGTTATACTTGTTGTAGATCTTTTATAAGTTGTAGTATTGCTTTTTTTGTATTTCTCTCCTTTGTTATAGCAGCTTCATTTTGGCACTCACTTAAAATACGTTTTGATACTAGTTTTTTTATATTTTTGTTTTTGATTGCAGTAGCTTCATTTTGATGCTTACTTAAAAGAAGATCTCATTTAGTGGATGTTGGTCATCCTTTAGATACAACACGTAATGATACCTTTGAAACTATTATTTCTTCAGCAGCTAAAGCTTCAAATTTATACAAAAATGTAGCTTTTGATCTACAATCACTTAGGCTTTCATATTTTTCTTCTAGTTCATATAAGGTCTTGATAATTGCTTTATTAATTGATAGTGTTAATGAAGATAATAGAAATACTGAATCATAATTTAGATATAAATGAGAATATACAATTGAAATTAAAATAGATCTGGTATATAGAATCATATAATAGCATGATAATTTAAAATTTAGTCTTAAACTACATTTGCAATAACTATTTTCTTCATTGTTGCTATTTTCTTTATTTTTCCCAACTTTGCATATTTTGCTTTTTATTCTGTCGATTGCCTACTTGAAAATTTTTCTAATTAGTTGATTAAATCTTTTAACATTAAAATAAATAAATCTGCAGAAACAAGATTTAGTTCAAAAGCTCTATTTGTTTATAGTTTATGTTAATGAAAGGTCTGATCAATATATAAAAAAACTTGCTCTAAATCACTTGCAGCCTCTATTGCCTTCTTCAACTTACTATGACTTCCTTCAGCTTGTTGCATTGATTATATACCCATATGTGAATAATTTTTTATGTATATGTGCATTCAACACTTAGCATTCTTTTCCATTCTTCCAAGTAATTTTGTATATAGGTTGGATTTCTACTTTTAGCTAATGCTTGCTTCATTTTGTCAAATGCCTTTTTAACTACATTAATCTCTTCAGAATAAGTTATTTTTTGAACAGATAACAAAAATTTGTTATAATCTTCATCAGAGTTGAAAAACTTTCTGCATGTAGTATATAAATTTGGTGCAAGCATATACCATATACAAAACATTTTTGTTGCTATTGAAAAAATATTATTTGCTGCTTTTCAGAGGGCCAGGTCTCTATCTAAGATAAATACTTCCAGTATACAAGAAAAAACATTGTAAACTGTCTTCTTCAAAGTGTTTAAAAACCATATATATGTATGTTCTTGCTCATTTGCAACTCAAGCCATTGCGATCTAGTAAGTATTGAGAGTTTTATTATTGCCAATATTGCTAACACCGATAGCATTAATAAGAGGAAGTTTGTACAAGTTTGTTTTATAGATTGCATTTACTATAAGTACTTCTAAACATATAGCTGCTTGACGTGCTATCTCAATATGTGTAAAGAATAAATTCTGCATAAATCTATCTTTTGATAATAGATGCTGAACTACATATTGACGTTTCTCCAATATTTGTAGAAGTTTCATAGTGGTGTTGTTATTTGAGCCTTTATTTAAAGCATTTTTTAATTCGATCTCGCTTATTTATGATATCCTTTGTATATATAATTCTATTTTTCAAATATATAGTATCAGCAATCGATTGGGTTGATGTTCTACTTCTAAGCATAATGTGAATCAGCTTCTTTCGTTCTTTGTTAATAATTCTATATTAGTAAAAGCAATGAACTTGTGATGGAGGGAGAAGTTTATAATTATACTGACTTTTGTAAAAGCTTACTATCCAGACACCAGTATTTTCATTTAAAGTAGCTCTTAAAATAACAGAACAATTTTGACGTTTGGTGAATTTTTTTCTTT